GGGGGGGGGGGGGGGGGGGGGGGGGGGGGGGGCAGCTGAAACACGGCGGGCTGACCCCTGAATTAGCCGTAAAGACCGCTCGCTATGATCTGGATATGAGCAGCTTTCACGTGCCCGTCATGAAATATCACAGCCCGTACACGCACGCGCTCTTTTGGAGATGGAAATGAGGGGGGGGGGGTGTGGGGGGGGCGCAGGTAAGCCGGCAGGTCCTGACTAATGGCCTTCCTCCGCTCTCAGACTCTTTAAAAATCCTGAAGAACTCCACAAAAAAGTGATAAATGGCCCAAATGCAAATGGGAGTCACGGCCGTTTGGACGCGCGCGCCCCCCCCATTCCGCACCCCGTCGCGCGCAAGCGGACTCTCAACCCGTTAGGACCGGGGGGGGCCTTTGTCCCCCCCCCCGGGCTGTCAGTTGCCAGGATCCAGAGCCCAAAAGCATGCGTCATTTCTTCATTTTTCACCGCTCCGCATCCCGGTGTCCACAAAGGCCGGGGCCGGCCGCGGGCACGCGCCCGTGCGCGCGCCGGGCCGCGCGGACGTCCGACTGCTGAGTTTTTCTGGCTGAAGGCGGCGCAGCGGGGAGGGATTTGCAAGACAAACGCGGCTGTGTGTGAGAGGAGAAGTCAGGGCGCACAAAAAGGACCAGAGTCAGCTTTATGTGCGCGTCACATCAATCAAAAACAAAAGCCCACATGCACGAAACGTGGAGGGGGAAAAACATATTTCTGCACACACTCAGAGGGATTAGACTCTGCTCTGGGAGGTAGAAAATAATAGAAAAGGGTCTTATTTCAGTAGTTCAATTGAATAAAGAGTATTCAGGATCATGTTGATTTGATATAACATAACATAACATAACATAACATAACATAACATAACATAACATAACATAACATAACATAAAATAACATAACATAACATAACATAACATAAAATAACATAACATAACATAAAATAACATAACATAACATAAAATAACATAACATAACATAACATAACATAACATAACATAATCTAATTTAATGTAATATAATATAATAACGACAATACTACTACTAATAATAATAATGATAATGATAGTAATGATAATAAAAGTCTAATTCAGAACAGTTATTCACCTTCAATTAAATAAGGAGTGTTCAGGATACTCCTGTTTATATAATATAATATAATAT